GGAACCGTGGCGCAGCATTTGGTTTGAGAAAGAGAGTGAGAGAGAGAGAGAACGTGGGAGTATTCAGTATGCTGTGTGGGTGTCACCTGAAGCTAGGTGCTTGGGTGTCCCCTCCATTTTTTCGGGGAGAAGGGGTGTAAAAAAAGGCGCCGCGCCAAAAGGATAATGAAACACAATACCTTCGTCCACTTGTTAATGACGGAGTCGTAGCGCTCAACGAGATTGAGACATGTCACGCCGTCCTGTCCGCCAACAGCGTAGAGGAAACTGTCGAGCACAGCGACACCTACACTGGTACGACAGGTGTTGGTGGGTGCCACGTCTGCAGACCACAGATTTGTATGTGGATCATACCTGGAGGCAAAAAATGGAAAATACCGGTGGTAGAGTCGGGACGATGCGCCTTACAATTGAAAAGCAGAGCAAAACCCGGGAATAAGAGAAGAGCAGTTGCGAACCCTAGGCGAAACGCCAGCACTGAAAAAATAAATTGTGCTGATGGGGGTTGTCAGACCAAGGTGCGTGTGGCCGTACCTGTGAGCAACCAGGCTGTTGGCCTTGGACTGTTCGATGGTCATAATAGCAAAAAAGCAGAAGTCCTTCACAACTACCATTACTTCGCTACCTGCCTGAATTTGTACTGGTTGGTTTACACTGGTCAGCGTACCCTAAAGGATGCTGGAATTAACTGTAAGTGGGGACTGACAGTTTGCGCTGATAAGAAATCCTGGAACATGAAGCTTAACAAAACAAATGAGAAGAGTAGACTGCGACCCCCCCCATGACAGATTACTCCTTTGAGTCGGTTAAATTCACAGGAGAAATTAAGATTCAGCTAATATATGACAGGGTTCTAATCAAAAACAAGTATATATAGGAGTCCTGTGTTCAATTTAAAACGGATTAAGTCCCGTTTTAAGACTTGAGAGATAGCAGATTTACAACACTGCAACATTCGTTCAGAGGGGTTGCCCCGAATCTACTAAACTGGGGATGCCGGTGATGCTCGTTCGAGGGTAGTCACCCATCCCACCTCAGGCAAGCGATCAGCTAGGCGGTGGCCTGTTGCTGGCGGTGGGAGAGAGGATAGGCGACCCTCCGTGCATTTTTCTCCTCACTAAAAACAATCTGATGGGTTTGAAGCTATCACGGTGAGCTAAAAGCCATGGCTTGGAAGATTGACAATTGACGGGATAACTTGGACACTGCAGTCGGCCGAGTGTCTTGTTGTGTGGAGTGGCTAACCGTGGGCTGAGAGGCAGGCTCAATGGCTTCTTCTTAATGTAGCCTGTAAGGCGTTCCCAGGCGGGAGCCTACCTAGCGAGGTGTACTGTTGGTACGCATGTTGAATGTTGATCGCGCTAGCCGCCTGCGCCCTGCCCTGCCCCGTCTCCAATCTTCTCGACTTTTGTCTTGACAGCGGGTCCGGTGTAGGAGTGGTGAGAGAGTGGGGTAGATTCTCCGCAAGTTTACTTTCACTATAATCCCGCGGGAGTCATCGCGTTGCTTCAGCTTACTAAGACTCTTGGTGAACATCGTCAAGACCGACGGTCCGACTGTCGTACGCACAAAACCGTCACCTGCCTGAATTTGCACTGGTTGTTTTCCGCTAGTTGCGGTGAAAAGAAAGATTGAATCTGGAACATGAATCCCGACAAAACAAATGACAAAAGCGGACTGTGACCGCAATCCCACCCTCCCCTGCTCATGACGGATTACTCCTTTGAGTCAGTGAAAAACGCAGGATAAATTAAAATTCTGCTAATTGTCATATTCTTTAGTTGGAGCATGGGCAGCAGGTTACAGTAAGTATAAATAACCTTCTGAAGCATGACTTTTAAAATATGAAAACTAACACACGCCACTTCAGTCGGCGTCCTCCGCTGTTAGGAATCGCAAGTATACGCTCACTTGCTAGGTCAGCAAAGAATTAAATAGGCACTGTCCGAAGGCAGTTATAAGGCTGACATAGTAAAAAGCATTACCCAACAACGAGGGACTGCGACGGCAGAATTCGTGCATGCTTCCGATCAGCAGTTGCTCCCGGGAAATAAGAGATCCAGATTCATGTATGGTCCCAAACAATTCAAGAGACTATCGTGACCGCTCTGCGCCAGCGCGGACAATTT